CTCTCTGCTGGTTGTCCCCTACAGAAATGGGTATGACTGTGTGCATCGTTGCTGTGCACTATGCCTGACCCGAAGGGAAGAAATGGGCGTCCATGGGATTTGCCAGGACCTGTCGGGGTCCAAACAACGACCGGAGGGCCTTCGCCTCGGTTTCACGCGCGTCTTTTTCTTTTGAATGCATCTTTTTTCTCTTGTCGAGATGGTCACGATCCTGTCGATGCTGCCGCAGCAGCGGATGGTGGAGATAAGGCTTGCTTCGTCAGCTTCCTTGTTGACGAGATAGGTGTTCCAGCTGTAAGCTGTTATACTTTAAGCTGCTTTCCATTCGCCTGGTTCCGAGACCCCCGGTTTTGGTGTGGAGTTCCTTTCTGTTGGAATGCAGTGGCTTGGCGCCGTGAGATGGATGCGGGCAAACACGATCCCAGCCGCAGTTCTGATCGTCATGGATCTATCCACGAGCATGATTCGAGTGAAACAAACTATATCCAAAGGGAGTGATGACAAAGAAAAGACTCAGCTGGGAAAGTCTTTAGGAGTCCTCGGCCATCTTTGGCCTAGTCAATTCAGTACGCTTAAGTGCAATCCTCCTGTCAAATGCAGGGGCACGGACAAGCTCAAATTTGTGAAGGGTTGGTCGTGCCAGCCTCGTTTACGCTTACTGTCGTACATGCTGGAGCTCGAATAGCTCTTCCACAATGGCATGGCAGGGCACGCCTTCTTGATGACAATGGGGCGTGGCTGATTGAACAGGTCAGGCACCGCAGCATGCACTGTGCTGCAGAAGAGAGGGTCATGGCTTCGATTTCTTCCGGGAATGAGGCTCCCAAGTGACCTTTATCTTTCTTGCCGGTCTCTGAGTAAGATGCCAGTGAGATGCTTCAGCTCTGCGACAAGCGGTCCAAGGCTCCACCTCCTCGGACTTGGTAGCCCCTCTGGTCAGCTCTAGCTGCGCTCGGATCTTCTCATCACGGCGGTCACGGCGCAGGAACGATAAGAGCCACTGCCATCCCAGCAGCGATGCCCTGTTGCATCCTATTGCCGTAGATCGTGGAGAGGTTTCACGAGGCTTGATAGCATCAAGGCTCCATCGCTTAAAAGGAGCTTTCTGCTTTGGCGTTTGTCCAGATCTGCACGAAGTTGGATTGTTCCATCACACTGCGCCTGGTGTTTAGCAGGACCTGATTTGCTTGTCATGTTCATTTGGGCTCAACTGCCAACGCATTCCCGCAGTTGGTGGAAGGCCGCCTTGCAGCAGCGGGCCGGAAGCCATGGATCTAGGACAGACCTACTACAACAGCTGCCTCAACCGCGGCTTCTTCTTATGGTTCTACTTCTTCTGCTACTGCTACTGCT